CGCCGCTCCGCTCCACTCCGAGGGGCGACCAACAGGAGGGCCGCAGCTGGAGAAAGAGGGAACAGACACGCGCTTCCTGGGTGGTCTCAGGCAGCGTGTGGAGACCCGGTGAGCCGGGGCTCACCTCACGCCGCACCAAACATCAGGAAAGAGGGTCTGTGACGTCTGTGCCTCACTAGGCAAGCTGGTCCGAATTACTATCATCAACACGCCCACTGTATGGGTGGGGAAACTGAGGCCCCGGAGGTGACCTGGCTGCATATTCTGGCAGGTGCCCAGTGGCTGCAAGATGCTGTACCCCGACTCAGTGCCCCATCTCCTCCCCTCCCGGACGGGGCACTGGGAGCTGGGCACGGGTGCCACGCCCTGAAGCCCCGTCTTCTCCAGGTGCTGTCGGAGTTTATGTTAATGCTGGTAGGTGGTCCCAGGGCAGGGCCCAGACTGTCCCTACAGGCAGGCAGGGCTGGCACACAGTACGTGCGCATCAGCCGCCCATCAAAGGCACCCCAGGATCCAGGGACGCCCCAGCAGGTCCTGCTGCTCTTTCACCCGTGTAGGCATCCGACGTGAAAAGGTTCTGACCCAGGTCTAGACCTGAATGGAGTTGGCCAGCCCAGGCACCATCTTATAAACAGGGTACCCCAAAACATGGGGCGGAGTGTTATCACTGGGCCAGACCCCAAGTTAGAAGGAGCCTGTGAGAAAAGGCAGATTCTTGGGCCCATCCTTGGGGAATCGCCATCAGTGGGTCTCGGGGTGGAGCCCGGGAAGCTGTATGCTCAACGTGCCACCCAGGGGGGCTGTGACGGACAACACGTGGGAGAAACACCATGGAGGGAAACGAGTTCCCAGCCAGGAGCCTGTGGTCTCAGAAATGCTGGGCTCACTTGCTTCTTATCTCGTCCCCGCCGAAGATGCAAAAACTCATACACCCAGTTGGCCACTGAATACTTTCCTCCTCCCTGACGGTCTGGGTGGGTGGTCCTTCCCTGACCCAGGCAACCAGCCTAAACTTGCTGCGTCGGCGTGCACAGCACCTGCACAAGCCGGGTCTCGGGGCGGTAGCATCCATGCCCAGCCCCGCAGGGCCCCATTTAGGAGGGGAGGAGATGGGGCATCAAGTCCAGGGGCGTGGCGTCTAATCCTTACTTACCCTGGCTCTAGGCAGCATCCTGCGGCCACTAGGCTACGCTCCCCCTGGATGCAGAGGGGTCCCCAGGCCTCAGCACCTCTCAGCGGCCCCAGTTTTGTCACCTGTCCCTCAGGGATGTTAATGATAGCATCTACCCCGCTGGTAATGGTGAGGATCACATGAGACAATGGCAGAAAGCACTTACTTTGTGCTTAGCAGCTACCACATGTTAAGCAATTAAGCTCTTCACTTGCATGAGCTCATCTAATCCTTTGCAACCACCCTGGGAGGTGGAAACTATTATTAACCCCATTTTCCAGATGAGGGACATTAAGTGACTCACCCTGCATCATGTGGCTAGAAACAGCAGAGCTGGGACTTGAACCTGAGGAGCCTGGCCAGCTCCTGAGCCCAAGCCCATGTAACCATCAGGCTGTGCCACGTCAATAAACACTGAGCCTCAGCCACAGGTTGGGGGGGAGCAGACGCTAGAGGCAAAAGGGGGACAAAGGCCCTGACTGTGGGGGGAGAAGGGGGATGGCAGGCCTGGGTTGAGTGTCACTTAAGAGAAAAACCAAACCTGTGCCACGCTGAGCCAGAAGGGCAGGCAGGATAAAGGAGCACGTGACCCATTGGATCAAGCTGGCAGGTCAAGCCAATACCCACAAGTTCAGGGAAATGGTCACTCTGAAGAGGTCAATCAAGTCTCCCTTAGCCTCATTTGTGCCTCATCTCCACTATGTTCCACAGGGGCTTTCAAGGACAAACAAGAGTTGAATGATTCTATCGCCAAATAAGTTTGGAATTCTTCTATGCTGTATACCCTATCAGGAGATTCACAATGGACATCAGCAAAATAAAGGCTCTGATAAGTCCTGCAGTGAAACCCGCTTAGTTTATCCAACCTAGCATTTCTTGCACTTAACTGATCATGACTCTTCACGGAACACAGTCTGAGAAATTCTGGTATAGAGCAGGGGCTGCAAACTCCTTCTCTAAATAGTATTTCTGAAAATAATATTTTCAGCTTTGTGGGCCATAGCGTCTCTGTTACAACTACTCAACTCTGCTGCTGCAGCACAAAAGCAGGACCAGGTGATACATAAACCAGTAGGTGTGGCTGTGTACTAACACAACTTTATTTATGGCACCAAAATGTGAATTTCCCATAATTCTATGTGTCACAAAATATTCTTTGTAAAATTTTTCTTAGCCATTTAAAATTTTGAAAACCATCCTTAGCTCACAGGCACCCAAAAGCAGTCTGGAGGCTGAATTTGGTCCGCCGTGCATAGTTTGCCAACCCAGTATAGAGCAATGGGAAACTCCAGCATCTTCTAGGACCCCACTATAAAGTGTCAGGGGCATGAAAAGGGGAAGGTTTGGGTGGGTGGGGAGCCTGAGGGAGACCATCAGTAGAAAGAAGACCAGACTGGAAAGAAGACAAGTGTGGTCCTAAACTCTGTGGCCCCCTCCCACACAGCATGTGACCTTAGGCGGATAACTCTGGGGAAAAAATTATAAAATTTATTTACATTTTCCAAATCCACTTGGCCAAACCCAGCATTAACCACAGTAAAAGGAAGAACTAAAAGCTGGAACAATATTTGCAGCTCAAATCACAAAGGGCAAAATGTCCCTAAAATATAAAGCAGAAAAAGACCAACACCCTATGCGAGCAATGGGCAGAGGAGACAGAGGTTCCCAGGGAGGAAACTGCAAACGGCGTATTCGAGCAAGGGCTCAGCCTCGCACAGAGGAGAGAAAAGCAAAGCAAAACTACGAGATCCCACACAACATCTATCGGATTAGCAAAGACAGGTACATTTGAGAGGTTGTCCCGACAAAGAAGGGGACACGGGTACCCTCGTGGATTGCCGGTGGGCGCGCAAATGGAAAGACCTCTCCAGAGGGTAAACTGGCAATACCGATCAAAATTACAAACAGGGACTTCCCTGGGGGTCCAGTGGGTAAGACTCTGTGCTCCCAAAGCAGGGAGCCCGGGTTCGATCCCTGGTTGGGGAATTAGATCCCACACGCGTGCCATAACTAAGAGCCTGCATGCCGCAACTAAAAGATCCTGTGTGCCGCCTAAACAAATAAATAAAATATTAAAAAAACAAAAACAAAAACACTACAGACATGCCACTTTCAGGAACTGTTCCTAGACCTACACCTACTCAAGTGTCCAAGGACACGTGCACTGAGGTTCTCCACTGCAGCCCTGTTTATAGGAGCGGAGGATGGAAAAACCCTAGACGTCCATCCCGGGTGGACTGGATGAGTTCCTCTTGGTGGTAGTAAAACAACAAAAACAAAGACAACAACCCCTCCTCTCATTTAGGGCATGTGTATTATGAGCCGGGTCCTGTTCTCAGCCCTCACTACTCAAAGCACTGTCCAGGGACCAGCAGCCTCTGCGTCACTTGGGGGCTGTTTGGACCAGAGCCTCCCATCCGTCCCAGACCTGCTGAAGCAGAATCTGCATTTTCACAAGAGTCCCAGGGAATTCCTTTGTACCTTAGGGCATTATTTTTAAAACCCTTCCTGTATTAACTCACTCATTCTCAGAACAACCCAATAACCCAGGCTCTCTTATGACCCAAGGGTTGGGGCCGAGGAGTGCAGGCTCTGGGACGTTAGCGCAGTTGTCCAAAGTCACACAGCGGGTGAGCGGCAGAGCTGCATCCACTCCACATGTACACGAAAACACAACAGCCTCGAAAGACTAAGGAAGCTCTTAAACAGCGGAAAAGAGACCAACCTCCGAGATACGTTGTCTGGTGCAAAAAGCAAAGGGAAGAACACTGTATATACTATGATAGTGTTTGTGGGAGGGAAAAAAAAAAGGAAAGCAGAATCTATATGTAATTGCTTAGATACCCAGAAGGATCTCTGATCAGAAAGACACCCAATAACGTGGAGATAGCTGCCGCTGGGAGGTGGGACTCTGCAGCTGGAGGAAGGAGGTCAGAGGGAAACCGCTCACTGTTGCACACGGCTGTAACCTTTGAATTTGGAGCCAGGCACATGTATTACCTATTCTAAAGTAATTCTTTTGTAAACTGGTGTAAGGAAGAAATTACCCACACCCTAAAGGCATCCCCACTTAATAAGAAATATGCTTTGGGGAAGGAGAAATCGGCACAGCCGGGCCCAGCCTAGTCCCGCACGTGCTCTCCTGTCTGCCCTTCTCAGAAAAGATGGGCGTGGGGTGCGGGGGAGGGGCTGGGGGAGGGCGGGCGGACAGCGCATTCTCCAAGTATCTGGGACTCAGCACCACATTCAATCTCTTGGAAGACGGTAATGCCTCGTATCAGTGCGGTGGTCCTTAACTGGGGCAACTGTGCCCCGCATGGGACACTTGACAACGTCTGGAGACATTTTTTGGGTGTCACAAGTGGAAGAGACTATCTATCTATCTAGTGGGTAGAGGCCAGGGATACTGTTAAACACCCAACAATGCCCAGGACACCCCAGAATGTACTGTGTCCTGAGTTTGAGGAGCCTGCATCAGCACGTTCTATGTTCGGGCATCACCGGAGGCTCAGCTAAAGTGCAGGTTCTGATGCCACGGGCCTGGGACGGGCCAGAGAGTCTGCATTTCGAATGGGGGAGGCCACCCATGCTGCGGTGAGCAACGAGGCCTCACCCAACCCAGCTCTGGCCAACTGTGTAATCATCTTACGCAAAAGGGGTAGGGACTGCTTTCACTGTGGATCAAAAAGCTGGACAGTAAGTACTGATGGGGGAGGGGGCAGGGGAAGCTTGGTCCTGATGGAGACGAGCACGGGGACTGCTGAGATCCTCCTCGAGTCCACGGCTGCGGGCCGCACTGGCACGAGCTGGGGTGCTGGTGGGGACTTACCATCCAGAGTCTCCACCGAGAGCTGCAGGCCCAAGTTGTGCCGTGGGTTGACCACCCAGTGGTTGCTGGTGGCCGTGATGTCGAACACCAGCCAGCCCTCCTCCGAGGCCCAGAGGGTGCGGCTGTCGAGCAGAAACAGGTCCGACTCCCTGCAAGAGAGGAGAGAGACGCAGGCTCCGGGTCAGCAGGTCACGGTTCGGACCCCACCCCGTCAGCCAGCCAGCCACTGATGGACAGGAGGACCTTGTGAGGCAGGGGAGCTGGCAGGAGGTCTGCCAGTCCCCCCAAAGTGGGTTCATCAGACCAAGATCCAGCCATGGAGACCCCCAGGTAGCAGCCGTGGTAGGGAGACAGAGTGCAGAAGAGGGGTAAAGAGATACGTGCAGGAGACAGATGCGCCCTTCAGATTCATTAGGGGGGATGCCAATGAGACAGAGCACAGGAAGGCAGCAATTACACAGCCTCCATGACGCCGGAAGTTTCAGGAAACAGAAGTGCCCTTTCGTTGGCTTATTCACCACTTGCCAGGCGCTGTCCCCAGTGTGGTACGCGCACTCTCATTCAGCTCTCACAACCCTAACTTGCGGGAGTACTATCATCTGCCATGAATCCACGGTAAAACCATGACACGCCCAAGGTCATGTACCCGGGAAGTTGCTAGCCTGGGGGTGGAGCCCAGGCAGCTGAGCACCGGTGAGGACGCTCCTCATTTCCACGCTGTGCAACTTCTCCATGAGCCCACCACGTGTTAGGAGGCGGGACTCCACACGGACTGACGTCATTAATGGAGGGAGTCCGTTAATTCTCCCTTCCTCAGATTTGTAGTAGCAAAATGGGTAAAACCACAATTGACCTTGTAGTGGATGGAGGATGAATGGATGGAATATGGATGGATGGATGGATGGATGGATGGATGGATGGAATATGGATGGATGGATGGATGGATGGAATATGGATGGATGGATGGATGGAATATGGACGGATGGATGGATGGATAGAAGATTGATGGATGGACAGATGGAAGATGGATGGATGGATGGATAGACAGATGGAAGATGGATGGATAGATGGATGGATGGATGGATGGATGGATTTTTACATTCCTAGGTAGTAGAATTCTAGTATGTAAGATATCTTAATGTCTCTTTTGCACTTTTAATTATAAGGATTCAAAGCTTAAATATTTTGAGTCCTTCGATAGTCAGTTAGGATACCTGAGCTCCTACACTGTACCAGGCTGTGGGTACAATGATGAACAGCACCCAACCAGCTCCTGCCCCAGGGTACTGACAGTCTCTGTCATACCTGGAGGGATCTAATTTTCCTGGGAATTAAGGTGAATTTTCTCTGCTCACATCTTATCAGATGTACCAACTACTGATTGAGCACTTACCACCTGCCAAGCCCTGGGTTGCACTGCCTGCCCAGATCATGTCACTGAGTTCCTACAATAACTCTCTGAGGTGGGTAATATTAACTGTACCACTGTGCAGGTCTCAGAACTGAGGCTCAGAAAGGCAAAGCTGTTTGCGCAGGGTTACACTGCTAGCACACAGCTGAGGCAGGACTGGAAGCGGGCCGGGCCCCCTGTGAGGCTTGCAACCATACAAGAAGAGAAGGTCTTCTGGACACTGCCTTTGCTCAAGCGTAGCTGTCATCATTTCAGAGCCTTTGGCGAATTAAACCCATTGTATGTAACTCACTAAGCCCTCGGCCGAAACGAGCGGCAGGTACCCCCTCCTTGAGATGAGGCACGATCTCCCTATTGACCCCATCCCCCGCTCTCTCTCCTGAAAACTAGTGCTGACCACCCTCTTCATCTTTCCTGTGTGGTCTGCAGACCTCCAAGTTGGTGAGGTCTGTTGCATCATAACACATTAGACATTTACCAAGCATATTAAAATGTATAAGACTCAGAGAAGGCATGCATGCAGAAAACAAATTGGTAATGTTACCCAGTGTCTCAAATTTACTTTCACTCGGAATCCAGTGGAAATGCACCGGGAGATGAACAGGTCACTCAGAGAAGTCTGCACAGGTTGGAGAAGCAGACAGGAGCCAAGACAGGTGTGAGGGTGGCTGCAGGGCTGTCTCATCGAGGCACAGTTTTGGGGAGTGAGGGGATGAATTTGAGCCGTATTTCCCTCTTGACTCTCTCCATCCAAAAGTCTGAGGGCAGAGGATCTAGTTGGCCTCGTCAAGTCCCTGCCCCAGCCTCGGCCACGGGAGGGCTGGGCACTCACGGTGATGGACAACATCACTGGGACCACAAGATGGAAACAGGGGTTATCCCCACCTCATGCCCCCCCAAAATCCCACTTTTTAAGTGATACTCAGTAATCGCCGGAACCCAATTCAGAAAATGCCGAATTACATTATGCCACGCGTGTGAACGAGATACGACTTCTGATCGTACGGCCGGCAGAACAGAGCCCCACTACGAGACAGTGCATTGTCTCTTGACCAGCCAAACCTGCAGTCCCTTGTGACTGCAGGACACTTGCTGCCTCTGTAGTACAGAGACATCAGAGGGGGCAAGGACGTCTTTTTAGAGCCACCGGATATTTTGAGGACGCTCACTTTCATGGCCAAAAACTGAATTAAAATAACGAGACCATCTTTCATGACCCGTTTGCTTCTAGTTCTTCCCAGTGCCTTCTCAGAGGTAGTCTCAGAACTGACTTGGGGGGACGTCCACACAGATTTTAAACTTCCAAACAAGAATTTCCACTGTCTTCATCTGCAATCTGCCTTGATGGCTTTCCTGGCTATGGAGATTACCAAGACTGTGGACAAACCAGTTTGCTGCTCTAGATAATTAACAGGTGAGAGAAGAGGCACCGCTCCGAATGCGAACAACCCCCTCACTCGCTCAGGCCCCCAGGGCCCCGGTAGGAAGCCTCCACACCACAGAAGTCTCAGACCTGGGTGGCAACGTCGCTGGAAAATTATTTGCCAGAAGATGTGACCAGATATCTGGATAGGCCCTGATGGACAGTAGAACAATGAATAGCAACTTAGGGAATGGAATTGGGCCTTTGAACAGTGAACGCCTTGCCAAACGGTACTACAGGTTCTCTTATTACAGCCAGGACACCGAGGGCCAGATGTTACAGGCGAGCGTTGACTCATCGTGAATCAACATGCGTGCGTGTGCCAACTCCCTTTCCTGAGCCCTAGTTCGCAGTTCGTTCCAGGCTTGCTGGGAAGGGCCGAACCTTCGTGGAAGAGGCATCGGGACAGGAAAGCCCTGTCGGGGCGGGAGGAGTGAGATGCTAACACAGACTCTGCCTTGAGACAGAAAGCCCAGCCCCAGGTCGGCCGCGTGAACGGGACAAGGGAGCAATTACCCAGCAGCCGCGTCCGGACTGAAGGCTGGGAAAGTGGGAATGTCTCGCTGCCACCTCCAGCATCTTATTCGAACACAATGGTTCTTACAACTGGGAGGAACCAACAAGCCCTTTGTGATGTTTTTATTTACCATGAACATACTGGCCTCCCTGACGAGCCCAGGTGACAGCAGAGGCAGAACGGCTCAGGGTGGGAGCCCCGGGGAACCTAAATGCACTCATTCCCCTTTCCCACTGCTAAGAATCTAGGTACTTTCCATGCACCAGCTCCCTGATCTCCAACAGTCAGGTTACTGTTCCCATTTTATAGATGAGGGAAGTGAGGTTCAGAGAGGGGAAGCCCACTGCCCACATCAATAAACCTTCTAAGTGACAGAACCAGGATGCAGTGCTGGAAGCGTGACCTGAGGACTTGGTACTTAAGCCCCATCACCTCCTTAACTCACCCTCTGGCCAAGGGACAAGAGACCCAGGAGGTTGTTCAGTGCTGCACGATGCGTGTTATTGTCACAACATTGTGTGGAGTAGAGAAAATACTAGAGGGGGGATGACATCTAGGTAGCAGGGAACAGAGAAGGCAAGTAGGGCAAAGCTAGCTCATTCCAGAGCCTCACTTTCCTCCTCTGTAAAATGGAGAGAACGCCCAGCAGCTGGGGAAGCCGAATGAAGACCAGCCTAGTGACAAACTCCCAAGGCTCCTGGAGCATCGCCATAGTTACTACCAGTCATGTAAGTGCTGGTGTACACTCCCTGTTGGACGGTAGGAAATTCTGGGAGGGGAACTTTATCTATCTTTACATGACTGCCCAAGATCCACGGAACAACAGACCACATATCCATTCAAACAACGTTCGCCTTGGACGCCAACACTCATCAGACAAGTGTCTCCGGATGTTCACAGTCGGGAGATTTTCTGCAAATACGGCCGTCAACAATTCCTCCCCTCCCTCCCTACATGCAGCTCTCTCATAAATCGGGGAGGTCTGCTCCACCTCTGATGTCTGCGCTGACCACCTGACTTGTTGTGGACTCAGTGGCAGGGAGGCCCTGCCATGTCCAGGAGGAAGACGGAAGAGGCTTAGCAGATCTGCTTCTGCTGCCCACTGCACTGGCAACTCTGACTCTTCTGCGGGAGAGAGGACATGGAAGGGGAAGGGGCAGAGGCTGCGGAGGGTGGGGGGTGGTCTCTGAGGGGAGAGAGAGAAAAGCCAAGCCAGCCCTCAGCAGACATGCCGTCCAGGGTGTTCCAGCCCCAGCCAAGCTCTCAGCTTCATCAGGGACTACAGCAGACGCTACCAAGAGTAGAAAAACTGCCCAGCTGAGCCCTGCCCAAATTCCTGAGCAATTAAATGATTGTTGTTTTAGCCACTGCATTGTAGGTGGTTTGTTCACCACGGAGATAGAACCCAAACAACAGTCACACTGTTTAGAACAGAAAAACTGAAAACGAACCATCTACTGAGAGGGACGGGTAAAAACAGAGGGTGTATCCAAGCGCTACACAGCTGTGTCAAAGGACCATATAAATCCATACTTCTTGACAAGAAGGAAACACGGTATTAAGTAAAAAGGTGTCATAAAACAGGATGTGTAGTATGCAAATTTCTGGAAAAAGACAATATGCTAAGATTGGTTAAAAAAAAAAAGGAAATGGAAAATTTGAGTCACCCAATATGCACTAACAAATTGAAATAAAAGGCCTTTCCCCACACCCAGATGGTTTTATACTGTATTTTTACCATATTATCAAGAGATAATTCCTTCTGGACTTCCCTGGTGGCGCAGTGGTTAAGAATCCG